AAATCAGGAAGAAGACAACTGTGACTCTGGAACAAGAACGACAACAGTACAGCTCAAACTACAAGCCTTGGTTGAACGTTATATGCTTGATATAAGTCTCTACGCGTGGATGACAAGGATCTCTCAGGGGGGGGGGCAGCGATAAGTCTCGAGCGATCTGTCGCCACGAGTTTCCATGCTTCTTGCAGCTCATCGTCCCATTTGAACCCAGCTTTTCCAACGAATGCTTGCATGTCTTTGGTGACAATTAGTCCGTAGCGGACTGGGAGGAGGAGGTCAAATATGGTTGTATCTTATTACATAAAATATAATAAATATATAACGTCAATACCTCCTCTTGACGAAATCTCATTTCTGCGTCCATATCCGTTGAATGACTATTCCTGCAAAAGCCGACTAAAAATTCTGCTTTCAGGAACTTGAATCGTTCAGGCATCAGCCTCTGCATCTGCTTTAACATTCTCTAAAATATACTTATTAAAATGTATGAAAATCAGTTCCGGAAGATTACGAATCTACGACATTAGCATATACAAATAAGAGTACGAGAGAAATGCAAAACATTTCAATAAGGTTCTATCATAGTAAAATATTGCGGTTCCTTCTAACAGCATTGTTAACTGAAAGCTGAAGCACGCAGAAACAGTAGATCGCAATGTCGCATGCTTGCTTTCTTCTTAACAGGTTCCCTTTACTTTGGATCAGCTGTGTCTGTTAATTTCCTCTGCAATTTCCTAACCTTGGCCAAGTCACTGGTCACCCAAACAAGTGAGTGCCGTTGACGATAATAGCAGATTACCTTTTCCCTGCCGTTATTATAGACTGGATCCACTATCTATGCGGTGAGAGGGTATTCTTTTCATGTGGCCAAACTGCTTTAACTTATCTTAATGAGTTATTCATCAGTTATTACGTTTTGTTAATGTAGTCCATTTATGCTCATACCATAAATTTAGCTGTTGCTCACCTACACTCATTCAAAGTGAAAAGTATTCAAATTCGTAGAGGAGAATATTTCTTACTAATCTTCTGTACACATTATACTATAGATCCACGACTCTGCTATTCATACTATAGAGTACGTCGCCTTCATATTTTACCAAATAAATCAAGCGCTTTACGATCAAATTTCCGATTTGTTGCCAATTCCCTAGTATGGTGTCATGTATGATGGAACCAAGATACTTCAAAAGTAAAGATTTTAATAAACAAAAGAATCAAACGGGACGCAGAAAAAAAGGTCAAGTCAAAAACAGGCAAAAATTACGTGAGAGTGAGTATGTAGTCAAAGTTTAAGCATAAGATTTCAACGCACCACCACCTGCGTATCAAACGTGAATAATCTATGGTAAACTGAGTTGGTTGCTGACCTCGTCGACATTTCTGATTACGATGAAAAATAAAAGCAAAAACGACTCTATTTCAGTTCTCCTAAACGCAGCCAAGCCATAGGTAAAGATTTCGATAATCCCACAATCGGCCTACATATAACGCAGTTACGTTCAAAATTTAACGCTAATGGCAATGTCTAATCCCAAATCTAAATTTGCACGGAATATAGAGTTTCGATCCTAGTGGTATAGCTAAACTAATTAAAGAAACATCTAAATTTACGAATCCCTTTTAGATGTATTTGAACAGATTGGTATATGGTGATTTATTTAAAACATTGAAAACGTATTTACGTATTTGCCTCTGAAGCTGCGTCTTTGTCGATGAGCTTATGAAGGGTAGCCACTTTACTAAATCCCTTTGAATAGCAAGGAAGGAGAGCGAAGCTCTTTTATTACTTCCCCCTATTCACTACAGTTCGATTTAAAGCAGAGAAAAGCGCCTCTCGACTACTTTGCATAAGAAGTCTCGGTACGGCCAAAGTTTCCCAAATGCTCATCTTCAAGAAGGGAAAGGCTTGAGGAACGCACTTCATGGACGACATCATTTATCTTCTTGCGGTCCATCTCCCTAGTAGGCAGAACTATGTAGGGAGAATAGCAAATTAACACATAAGTTGCTAGGTAGTGACGAAACGTTTGCCTGCTTGGTGCCACCACAAATTAGCTGTGTATATGTTGATGCTTTGTATTTGCAGTATGACGACCCTTTTAATATAAGCGCATGGAAATCCTTTGACCTCATGAGCAGCGAACCAATGAACTCGCAGCGCACAGCTCAGACGGAACCACCTGCGCTTAACATGTGGTTGACCAACTGGCGCAAGATCAGGCAGAAACCGCCTAATCCCGGAAGCTCATTGACAACCTGAGACTAAAGAACACTATGAAAGAGGCCACCTTGTATGCTAGACAAAGTGACCAAGAAATGTATCTTTTCTTGTGTCTGATTACAACTACAACTCCTTCGTTATTGAAAAAAGCGCAGCGGAGTGTCACAGAAGCGAAGCAACGTGGTAAAACGCTTCTTACGAGCAGCAGGTAGGCGGTTAGTCGCCGATGGACAAACACAATACCGCAAAATTGGTTAGTGCTTATGCTTGCGCTGGTGTCAGACGAAGATTTCGAAGCGGAATGATTCCAGACGGAAAGCAGCACTTCAAACAGACGATCCACTCGGTGAGGCAGACTGCGACGAAACGACTGGGCATCGTTCAAGTTACCAATCTGCAGAGTTATCCAGCGCGAAACCAAACGAAAACTGGTCATCGTGCAACGAACCAGAAGCTTTTCATCATTGGTCAAAACTCTGCTAAGATAGCCGGAAAGTCGCTGCTCATAGGCATGTAATATAATCCAAGCGCTCCAAGCTCCCAAAGTCTGCAGCACCGTCTGACAGGCTTTCAACATGCGCCTGATCACGGCGATTATCGTCGAACAAACGTGACACTGTGCGAAGAACCTCTCCGCAGAGGATAAAATGCGAAAAACTCTTTCTGCGCCGTCGAACGGTGTTGCGAAGTACCGGCACTTGATCAAGCGGATTTCAGGAAGAGCGCT